CAGTGGCTAAGTTGATAAAGCGTTGGGCTTTAATCAAGAAGACCTGAGTTCAATTCCCATACTTGCGTCAAATTGTTGTGATTATATCAAACAAAGTGGCCTAAACAATATTTCTTCAACCCGGTATCGTGACAAGATGTGAAATAATCACGTTGGTCCACTTTTGAAAACGTGTAGATGTCACGGTTTAAACCCCCTCAACCGTGAAACTTACACTTAAAATCACGACCTATTGGTTTTCATTAAACCGAGAAAAATTTAATTTTCTTTTATATAAACCACGTTAACCGTGTTAACCATAACCTTTTAGACCCTTCCAGAGCTGAGATATTGAGATATTTATAATGGCATAAATGCTATGTGGTATCTCAATATCTCAGCTCTGGAAGGGTCTAGAGCCTCCATTTTTGCACTCAGGTCTAAGTCCCATGGTCCTCTATCAGAATCCAGAGTTTCTACAGGGGTTGGACAATGAAACTGAAACACCTGGTTTTACAACACAATAATTTGTTAGAATGGTGAGGGCCTCATTTTGCATCCAAATACAGCACCAATTGACAGATTGAAGAAGTCCTTCACAGTGACCAGAGGGATTATGAGCCGTCCTCTTCCAGAACAGTGTCCAGGGTCACTATATGTGCTGGTGGACTCGCTCCTCCAAAACACCCTCAATAATATTCAGATCTGGTGACTGTGCAGACCATGGGAGATGTTCAACGTCACTTTCATCTTCATCAAACCCTTCTGTCACAAGTCTTGCTGTGTGTGTTGGTGCATGATCATGCTGATACACGGTTTGAGCATCAGGTGCTCATGATCCTCCAGAAGGGTTTGGTAGTCCTCGGCAGTGTCGTGTCCATCAAATACAATCAGGATTGTCATGATATTGGAGCTCAAACCATCACTGATCCACCCGTGCTTCACTCTGAAGATTGGCCGCCAGGCATATAGATGTGAAACCTCCAACATTGGCCAGTGTTTCAGTTTCATTGTCCAACCCCTGTAAATCTCATGGCCCTCTATCAGAATCCAGAGTTTCAAGAAGATCAGAGAAACTCAAAATTTCGACCCAAAAAAACCCCGACAGTGTTACCCCTGTCGTTTTTTTGTTTGTGCGAAAAAATACGTTTCTCCAATCTTCTTGAAACTCTGGATTCTGATAGAGGGCCATGGGACTTAGACCTGAGTGCAAAAATGGAGGCTCTAGACCCTTCCTGCGTAAAGCTTTTGATACTGTCAATCACCAGATACTTTATAGTAAGTTGCGTCAATACAATCTTTCTGAGCACACCCAAAAGTGGATAAAATCTTATTTGAGCGACCGACATCAGTGTGTACGAGTGAACAATATCCAATCAGCGTTTAGAGCTACTTCGATGGGAGTGCCGCAAGGGTCTATTTTAGGACCCTTGCTTTTTAGCATCTATATAAATGACCTCCCCAGGGTGTGTTCTGACGTTGATGTAATCATGTACGCTGATGATACTGTGATCTTTACCTTTGGGGACAATGAGCTGGAGGTTGCTGACAAATTATCAAGAGAAATGCAGAAAGTTGCAGAATGGTTGCAGACGTCTTGCCTGACCCTAAACGTTGACAAAACAGTTTCAATGTTTTTTTCAAATAAACGTAAAATACAACAAACTCAAGGGATTCTAGTAAATGGACAAAAAATTAAAAATGTAAATGAAACAAAATATTTAGGTTTAGTACTTGATTCTAACCTTAGTTTTAAAAGTCATATAAAAAAACTCAGTAATAAATTAAAATTGAATTTGATGAACTATAAACATATTAGAAATTCACTATCTACGGAAGCCTCAAACACATTCCTTAATACTATGATTGTTTCACATCTTTTGTATTGCATGTCTAGTTGGTCTCAGGCGTGTAAAACCTCGCTAAAGTTTCTTGAATCATTATACAAAAGGGCTATAAAAATTCATGATAAAAAGTCTCGCTACTACCATCATTGTAAAGTACTAAGTAAATGAGATTTTGAAAATCTTATTAAATATAATCAAATTTCTTCTCTATTTAAAATTATCCATAACATCGCTGCACCTCCTTTAATAAAATTTGTGACACTAAATTCGGAGAGAAATTGTAGAACCACACGGTCGACAGTTAGAGGAGAGTGCAGCGTTCCAAAACATAGAACCATATATGGTCAACAATCTTTTTCTTATAAAGCAGTGAGCCTTTGGAATACTCTTCCAAATGAAATTATCTCTTGCACTAACTATAGCACATTTACACGCCTGACCAAACAGTGGTTATTAACAAATCAAACCTGTACGCACTGAATGACTGTGATACGAATGATGTAAACTGTGAATGAATGAGTTATAGATTCTTGTAGTGGAGAGTGTTATATGATATGAGTAAAGTGATGCTTCTGTGTTCGAATCAACTGTGTATTATAATTTTGTATATAATTTTTAATTGTTGTAAGTATACCATCAAACTGTCCAGGGACTGCAGGCGGAAACTAGCATTTTTTTGCTATAACCTGGCACATGTCATCTCTTCTTTCTTAGATTAATGATTTTTTTGTGCATTGTCCCTGATCAAATAAATAAATTCATTCATTCATTCATTCCAGAGCTGAGATATTGAGATACCACATAGCATTTATGCCATTATAAATATCTCAATATCTCAGCTCTGGAAGGGTCTAGAGCCTCCATTTTTGCACTCAGGTCTAAGTCCCATGGCCCTCTATCAGAATCCAGAGTTTCAAGAAGATCAGAGAAACTCAACATTTCGACCCCCCAAAAAAACGACAGTGTTACCCCTGTCGTTTTTTTTTTTTTTGGAAAAAATACGTTTCTCCAATCTTCTTGAAACTCTGGATTCTGATAGAGGGCCATGGGACTTAGACCTGAGTGCAAAAATGGAAGCTTTAGACCCTTCAAGAGCTGAGATACTGAGATATTTATAATGACATAAATGCTACGTGGTATCTCAATATCTCAGCTCTGGAAGGGTCTAAGAGCCTCCATTTTTGCACTCAGGTCTAAGTCCCATGGCCCTCTATCAGAATCCAGAGTTTCAGAGTTTCAAACGATATTCAGATCGTTTTTTTTTTTTTGTTTTTTTTTGCGAAAAAATAAGTTTCTCCAATCTTCTTGAAACTCTGGATTCTGATAGAGGGCCATGGGACTTAGACCTGAGTGCAAAAATGGAGGCTCTATGGCAACCAAACGTCACTGGTGAGACAAACGTGCAACGGATGGACAGTCAGATTATGTTTTGGCAGGGGAAAAACTGATAAGAAAATGTAATGAAAATGTAACAGAAGTTGTAGAAATGAAGTGGAGTAGAAAGTATAATAATTGCTGCAAAATGCAACAAAGTAAAAGTAAAAAGTATGCGCTATTTATTCTACTTAAGTAAAGTAAAGATACGTGAAAAATGTACTTAAGTAAAAAAGTATTTGTACTTCGTTACATTCCACCACTGCATAATACTAAAACATAAAAAGTTCCTGCCAGTATGCAAGTCAGTGTGCTTTAATAGAAAATATTAACATTTATAATAAATACATTGACAACTTGTCAAAAATGAAATTTGGACTTGCTGGATAAGTTTAAATTAAATGAGTAAACATCTTAGTTAAAATTCAGATTTTTACCAAAACCGCATTTATTGGGATGGCATGGCATCATTACTTTTGTATCCTTCATAATAGCAGTATTAGTACTAATAATATGGTTATCACAAAATACATATAGTGGCGTGAGCCTAATTCTACATTCTTGCCAGCAATCAGAAGTCAAGTTGAGAACTCTGATCTCCAGTGATGTCAGGTCTTGAAGACTTTCTTAAGATGAAAAAAATATATCCTTTCTTTTTTATTCTGCAAATCTAACTGAAGTTGTACAACTTTGCAATAGAAATATCTGCAAAACGGAAATTTGTCACTCCTGAGTCCTAATGATGATTTATAACCTCAATAAGAAATGTAATTTTGTGTTACAGGGACACTGAAATTACAAGTTCAAAAATGACAATATGCAACGTGCTGCTTTTCTCCATCACCACATTGTAACGTGAAATTCCTTCTTCAGGAACCTTTGGGCTTGGTTTAAACTACGATCTCTACTAATAAATACAAGCATATTATAAACACAAAACTTACTTGTGTTTTCAGTATCACACTTTGTTCTGTAAATGGGTATTTGTTTGCCATGTCCTCTGCTACAATCAAGCGGGGTCACTTGTTTACTTTTATTGGTTGATTGTTCATTAAAGGAGAACTCTGGCGAACAATGAACCTTTGGTCTAATAAAACATTGGTACCTAGTCGATCGTTCTCTGAGATTTGTTTTCATGATAATCGAATGTAAAGAGTTTTATCTCTAAAAACTGTTTAGAGTATAATGGGGGGCATTGACTAAGTAAAAAGAAATCGCTAGTTTATACCACTAACAAGGCTCAAAATAGCCCCACACTAACACAGTAACATAATGAGTGTCCATACACTCAAAACGAAGCATTGAGAACTTTGTAAGAGTACAGACCGTTTAATAAGAAGATACGTTATAAAGACAGTTCACTTCATGTATACACAGCAGGAGCCATCTTAAAAAAGTCTTGATAAGTCGATCCCCGAACGCCGTTCATACAGTTCAGAAGTTCGCTGAACTTCATACAGTTCAGATCACTCAGCACAACGTTCGTGGTTTGACTTGTCGAGACTTATTTTTTAAGATGTATACATGAAGTGAACTGTCTGTATAATGTATCTTATTAAACGGTCTGTACTCTTACAAAGTTCTCAATGCTTCGTTTTGCGTGTATGGACCCTCATTATGTTACTGCATTAGTGTGGGGCTATTTTGAGCCTTGTTAGTGGTATAAACTAGCGATTTCCTTTTACTTGGTCAATGCCCCCATTACTAGCATTATACGCTAAACAGTTTTTAGAAATAAAACTCTTTACATTCGATTGTCATGAAAAGAAATCTCAGAGAACGATTGACTAGGTACCGATATTTTATTAGACCAAAGGTTTATTGTTCGCCGGAGTTCTCCTTTAAGTATCCTGATTGTATAAAAAAAGGATTTTTAATAGCATTGCTAATATGCACTGTACTGTGGCTGTCACAGTAACATGATAACGTCCACTGGGGGCTCCACTGCAGGAAGCAGCTAATTAATGTGCATGACAATTCTGCAGTGTAAAACATGTCTGTGTCAGAATACCTGTACTGCCCAATACAACAGACTCAAGGGCTCCTTTAATGCTTGTCTGAAGGCTCATGGGCTGAAGACGTGACATGAATCTCATCTGTCTCTAGCTATGCAAAGTGGGTGGAGCCGGGAAAATGTCTTAAGCTGTGTGTCCAATAAAAGAGCCCCATCGGGCGCTTGTAATTCCCTGGGATTAAAGAATAAAAGAACTTCCTTAGCTCAAATATGGTATAGTTGATAAGACATTTTAAGTAGTACACAAGCTGAACAATCTGACAATTCACTTAAATGTTGCAGATGTGTTGTGTTGATTCTCCTCCATATGCAAGTTTCTTCATGTTTTGTCCTGGCCAGCAGAGGAGGGGGAGGAGTGTCTTTGATATGATCTCATTCTAAACAAGACTTGGATTCTTATACTTCACTGTAAGAGATGTTGGGAAGAGAGGAAAGTGCATTTGTGATAGGGTTGTTCTGAATAAAAAGAACCTGATTTGCTTTGGAAGATAAACTGGGGTGGCACTTGGCTAGAAGAGTTCAACTGCACATTTCTCCCACACATTCATCTTTGAGATGAACATCAGAGTCCGTTTAAGAGTTAAGCAAAGATATATGTCTTTGGGCCGCAAACACACACTCACACTTAGCACACACACACACACTCAAACACACACGCAAGTGTTGACGACCTGTCTCCACAACCTCTGCAGTCCCAAGAGGAAAGTCCATGTAGAGGGTTTATTCCCCCTTTGTCTTTGTCTTTATCTGTAGAGTTCGTCAAGTGTTTCGTGTGTTCAGAAGATCACCGGACACATATTCCAGTCCTGTCTTTCTTTGGCCTCCCAGTAACCACCCTTATAAACGAAACTAGTCTCTCCTGTCATTTCATCTGTCCTCTGGTGGAACCACAGCGGCCTGTAGCACTCAAAGTCTCGTCCTGGAACACAAAACAACAATAAAATCATCAGAGGAACAGCCTAAGATCAGCCAACTGGGCCTGTTCTGACTAAAATGTTGTGGTAGATAAGTAAGTCAAATATATTTATATAGCGCTTTTCACAATACAGATTGTATCAAAGCTGCTTCACAGTATCAATGAAAACAACTTAACAGTGTTTGTTTATTACTGGAAAAAAAGACATCCAAGTTTGGTAGAGCTGATCAATGGTATGATGGGTCATTTAATTTGAATATCTCCAGATAACTGGAATTCATATTTTAATAGTATCGGTGTTTGAGCTATGAAACTCTACAAAATGTCCTGCGTGACCTTTGATCTCCCCTCACCTTCATCTATGGCATCGGACACCTCAGCGTCTCTCCTCCTCCTCGTAGCTCTCTGCTTCTCCTCTAGCCTTTGTTTCTCTGCGTTGGCCTCATCCCAGCGTCCCTCTTCCATCAGCCGCTGGTCTGGCCTCAGCCTGCTGTCCGTCAAACAAACACCCTCTTCTTCCTCGTTCAGGGTCAAAGCCAGAGAGGAGAAATGGTACATGTTCTCAGCATTCTCTCTGTGTGATGGTGATTGAGAGAGGAAAATGACAAACAAAAAAAAAATCTGAGACTCGAATCTGTTGAGCAAGGCCTTAGTACATCTTTAGTTAGTTCATTAGTTAGTCTGGTGGGTAAGTAAGTGGTGGAGAAGGTAGTTAGTTCTGAACGAACAAATCTCCCGGATTTTGAAAACCGACAGTTGACGATAGGTAGGGTTGTTGGTTGTCAGTTGGCAGGTAGTTAGTTCAGTTAATTGGTAGGTAGTTTGGACTGTCGGCCAGTATGCAAATAATTTACTGATGTGATCTAACATGGGAAATTGAATTGCATTACAAGCCAGACATTAACACTATACAGCCCACTAAACATGCATTGTGCCCTCTTGACTGTGTCATGCATTACTCGACGTGTCTTACGGCAGAGGGTATTTCTTCCACAGCAGTTTGGGGGTAAGAGTCTGATAGACCGTCTTCTGTTTGCCCTCAGAGCTGCTGCTTCCTCGGCTGCTCTGCACGATCTTGGCGCTCTCCATCTTATCGTCCCATGTGCCTGACAGGATGTAGTGGGCCTGGCCGTCACAGTCCATCACCACCCCTGTTACCTTACAGTGGGAGAACAAGGAGAACAAGGGTAACAAGCTCTGGGGTTGAACTACAGAAGCTTGAAGAGATTGAGAGAGTAGGATAAAAGCAGGATAGAAAGATGATTTAGCTAAATTCAAACTGGTTATCATCGGCTCTCGGTAAAACTCAAATATTAGTCACGGACAGTAAAAAGGACTGGGTAGACCATGGGTGTCCAAACTTGGTCCTAGAGACTGTCCTGCAGAGTTCAGCTCCAACTTGCCTGAATGTTTCTAGTATGCCTAGTAAGACCTTGATGATCTGGTTCAGGTGTGTTTAACTGGGTTTGGAGCTGAACCCTGCAGGACAGTGGCTCTTCAGGAGCAGGATTGGACACCCCTGGGGTAGACTATTTAAGTCCAAAACGTACCTTTCGTGGGACTTCCCTTGAAAAGTAACTGTAGGGAGAGAACTTGAGCTGACAGGTCTCTTTGGTCGTGTGGTTGACTATATCAATATCTCCTGACTAAAAGAAGAAATTAGATCAACAGAGAGAAAGACTTCCCAGTGGTTCTCAAAATATGGGGGTCATGGATGTATGTGTTGTCCTCAAAGTTGTTGTTATTGAACAGAAAAGTGTCTTAAAGCCAAACAAATGTTTTACAATTCAAAACTAATTGGCTGCATTGTTCAATTTTAGTAGTTTCAGAAGAGGACATCACAAAAATTGAGAACCACTTTATTAGAAAAATACAAAAAAGCAAAACTAAAGTCAACATAAACATCTGTTATCCAAAATATGATTGCTTAATAATGTCAGAAGTTCAACCTGATCAATCCACAGTTTGCCCACGATGATGTTGTGGACGGTGGAGGTGACTTTACGCCACACGTAGTGGTTTCCGCTCGCATGAAAGTGCAGGTGGATCGCACCTGATTAAACAGAGAGAAAGGCACTGTATGTGTGTGTGTCTGCCAATCCAAATAAAGATGACAAGGATCCTGACAATTTACAACTCAGCGCAGAATGGACAGTAAGTTCATAATTCATCATTCTAACAATATGACATAAGTCATTTAAGAGTGTGACATTAAATTAAACAAACAAACAATGTGTGTAAATTGTGGGTTACTTTTGTGAAAGAACCTTGTACATGTGTAAATTTGTTTGTATGAAGAATAGTGAAATAAGACTTACCCAGAGGCATGATGGAGAGGTATTTGCCACGGAACTTGCTAGCAATGGTGATTTCCTGCCACAGGGCCCAGCCTCGCTGTGACATCACATGATGAGCGGCTGCCGGCGGATGATGACTGACCTAAGAGATTATAGGTAAATATCAGCCCAGCTGTATATAAAATACACCACTAGGGGGCGATGTCTCTTTATTCATTCAGACATCTGTGGACTTTCTATGGGTAGATTCTAGTATTCTCACAGCCATCATTACTCTCCACACACTAAACCTTGCATGAGAAGCATCTCTAGTGATGGTTGACGGTGACTGAAAATTACTGCTGTGACACTGTTGGCTCCTTAAGGATAAATTGCTTCATTCCTCATTTGTTCTCTCATTGGTAAATTCATTATTTATAGGCTGCTTTGAATGAAAGTGTCAGCTAAATGAATAAACGCAATGAAATGTAAATGTAATTTTCATGATACCATGATTGACTTTGATGTTGCTTTTTGCATTTATCAACTTAAGACAGCATTCAAACTAAGTTTGGGGTCAGTTTTTTTTTTCTATTTGAAAGAAATTAATACATCATTAATTCAGCAAGGATGCATTAAATGAATCAAATCTGACAGTAAATACTTTTGTAACAAAACAAATCTATTTTAAATAATTTCTCTTCTTTTGAACTTTCAATTCATAAAGAATCCTAACAGAAATATGTATCACAGTTTCCACAAAAAAAAATGAAGCAGCACATCTGTTTTCAAAATGGATCAGCAGAGTGATTTTTTTAAGGATCATGTGACACTGAAGCCTGGAGTAATGGCTGCTGAAAATTCTGATTTGCCATCACAGGAATAAATTATATTTTAAAATACATTAAAATAGACAGTTATTTTAAATTTATAATAATATTTCACAATATTACTTCACAATATACTTTTCATTGTATTTTTGATCAAATAAATGCAGCCTTAGTGATTCAAAAAGCTTACCAACCCCGAACTTTTGAACTATAGAGCTTGTATGTCCTGTACTACCCAAATAACTGTGACTGAGATTAATGTAAATGCTAACAAATAGCTTTACCTGTATTTTACAGATCCTTTGACTCAAACACTGACCTGCTCACAAATGGAACGGTAGCCGAATTCTTCTAGGCGGTCCAGTTCGTAGGTCTCTCCTAGAAGAGGGTTGAAGGGCTTGGCCGTCCGATGCACTGTGGTAGAGTATGAGGAGACAGAGAAGGCTGCGACCAGACACATCTGCTCCAGAGAGTTTTCACAGCGCGCCGCTTTATCCAGCAGCTCGTAGTACTCCAAATCCTCCGTCAAGCGCTGCAGCATCGACAGGGGCTCGTTGAAGTTCACCTGGACACACAGAGAGAGAGACAAGAGACCTTGGCTGAGTCCCAATTCACATTCTCCAAGCCAGGGATGCCACTGTCACGAAATTGTGTCTTAATACCACAAATCCATTTGACACATCTTTGCAGGTAGCTTTAGCTTTGTATGTTTTTTTTTTTGTTTTGTTTTTTTGTAAATTTATTAATTTAAACCTTCTCTTCCATAATGCAATGGGTTGTATGCAATATTAGCTTAAAACACACTAACGTTTAAAAGTTTGGGGCTGTTGAGATTTTTAAATGTTTTGAAAGTAGTCTTATATGCTCACCACCAAGGCTGCATTTATTTGATCTAAAATACAGTCAAATCTGTAATATTGCAAGATATTATTACAATTTAAATAACGGTTTTCTATATTTCTATATATTTTGAAATGTACTTCAATATCAAAGCTGGAAAAGCTGAATTCTCAGCAGCCATTACTCCAGTCTTCAGTGTCACATGATCCTTCAGAAAACAAGTACCATTTCTTATTATCAATGTTGAAAACAGTTTTTGTGGAAATTCGTTACTTTTTTCAGAATAGAAAGTTCAAAATAACATCATTTTTTTTAATTACAAAATCTTTACTGTCACTTTATATTTATTTTCAATGTCTGAATGGTAAATTTATTGTAAAAAGTATGTCATCTGGACACTTCTTAAAGCTACACTGTGTAACTCTTTTAGTTTATTCTTAGCTAAAAACACTTAGTTCTTTCAAAAACATATGTGCCCATTAATGTATATTTACTTCGTTCAAGTAATGAAGTATTCTTGTGAGTGTATAATATGCCATTAAAAATACATACGGGTAAGGGGTTCTAATGTCGGTCGCCATGTTGCCCCTCCATCTTGAAAGTACATTAGCCAAAGAGGGACAAACCCATTAATTCAAGCTTCGCCTTTCGCGTTTACGTTTGAGTTAACACTCATGGATGAGGTCAAACTGGAAGCCATGTTAATCTTGGACTACATTGGCCACCGTAGGAGTTAAAACGAAATCGGAATTGAGAGGAACAGAAACTAATAGTCACTGGATGGTCATATACCTTTTCACCGCTAGATGGGGGTAAAAATCACACAGTGTAGCTTTAATGTTCACATATAATCTTGCATTTAGGAACATTTCTTCAATATGTGATATCACAAATGATGTCAAATTGTTTAAAAAAAACATATACACAAAGGAAAGTAACTGATTCAGTATGTGTATGCAACTTACAGGCATTGGGATCTTAGAGAGCTCTTTGCCAATGCAATTCTTCATGATGCTCCACAGATTGAGCGAATAGTTGGGCTTCTCTGGGATCTGGGTCCGCCTCTTCCTGTGAGGCTGCAACTCTTTCCCTGAAAAGTCATTACTGCACACAGAACACTAAAATAAAAGAAGAAGACAGAGAGACAAGAGTGTTTGCATTAAAAAACATCAGAAATGTGTACTGTGTTTGTGCTGAAAGACATTATTTGAAGGGCCGTACTGCCCTTGAAAAAACATAAACACTGACTGATGCTCCATCTGTCTTAGAAAGTGAGTCACCAAGAGCGAGAAGAAAAGAGAGGAGGAGATATCAGTTAATTAAGAGTCGGTTAATTAAGACAAACAGCAGCTGTGAGAGCCCATAATGAACACAGACCGCCTGAGGAAATACTGTCACACTAAGGGGCTGTCTCTACACGACACCATTTTCAACTAAAAACATGCGTATTACATGTTCAGTCAAGAGGCGTGTAGTGTTATTTTTATTTTTTTTTACAAAATGGCCTCGCCAACTACTGGCCTGGCAGCATAATACAGCATCTTAGTCGTTTTTGTGGATCCATGTAAACAGGGATCGTTCTGACAACGTCATCTGTACACACACACATAGGGATGCATATGATGCAGAGGGATGGCTTGTTTTGTAATACTCAAAGTTGATAGGCTTTCTAAGCGAAACCCCATTCGTCGTCATCCGACATAACTCAAAGTGACAATGAAAGGGAACTTTACCAGGGTCTGAAACCTCTCTCTCTCTCAGTATGACAAATCATCAAATTTTGTTAAAATAAATAAATTCAATTCAAAAAATTAAATTAAACTTCCTTGTGCTGTGTATAGAACGCAATGGCAGCACCATCTAGCAACTAAGCTGTACACTTACAAATTGCTGTAAGTTTCTTACAAACAATATAAATATGATTCGGCACATAATTTAAGCATTTTCAAGATGAAAAAGGAGTGTAACATAGGCTATTGTGTCACCGTGTGATAGTTTATTGGAGTGTTTGTAAGGCACTCTTCTTTGTCACCCCCATTTTCTTAAAGAAATTTTGCCCTAGTGGAGTACATTTGTTTCAGTATTTCAGAATGTCTTACTATTTGGTTTTAAATGAGATTTTCATTGTAGTCTTTTAGATCCCACCGTATATGACCTTTGTGTTGGCCTCTTTTTCATGTCATACTCACATTGTCATCCTGGTTGCAGCCACTGGGCTGTCCTCCGCTAGCACCACTGAGATTACTCTGAGAACGTCTGCACGAGAAAGAGAGAGACATGTTGTGTTTGATGGGTGGAATAAATGTATCTGGAGTTGCTAACACATCAGGCAGTCATCAAAGAGCCCTTTACAAGGACCAGATCAGTTTTTGCCATCCATTCCATAATTTAGGTACCATTTTCTCACATTTGATTTCTCGTTCCCAAATGAGCAAAAATGAAAGAAATACATACATCACAGGTGTTCAAAATACTTTAAATATGCTGGAAAAAGACCTGTTAAGTTATTGTATTACTACACATCGTCAGCTCACTGAGTAGAGAACCTAAGCAACTATCTCTGAAATTCATGTACGATTGTTGCATTTCAACTCTTTGTGGCAGTCGCACAGATATTCCAAATTGCTCATGAAGCAGAAGTTATCCTCTGCTTAGTGAATGTATGAATATATCCACACAAAACAAATAACCGGCAATACGTTTGAAAGAAAACTTGAGACTTCCTTCCAGCCTATAGTTTGCCAAAGATAATGGAAAGGTGGATTTAAAAATGTATTTTGAATTCACTTTTAATAAAAATAATATTTTAACAACTATTTTTCAAATGCTGTTTTCTCACAGACTGCCTCTGCCTCTCTCTGACCCAAGACTTAAATGAATGCCGCCTGTACCCGCTTAGACATTTAGTCTAGGCTCCCATGGGAATCCTGTGGGAGTGCAGACCTCTAGATCAGTGTCATCATCCTTTAGTCACGTGTTTAAAACCACCTGGCAGAACAACACTTATAGTGATAGTTCACTATACACAATACAAATCCCTCGTGATGTGGAGAAGCCTGTATGATTTTATTTCCTCTTTCATTTTTGGATTGAGTGGGATGAAGCTGACCTATGTTGAGAGGGGTCCGTGGCAGTCACTGTTATAAAGGCAGGTGAGTCCTCCATGGCATCAAAAAACTCCGTATCCTCATCTTCATCACTCGCTTCCTCTTTCCGGGACCTTTCACCCACTCCTGCACAAGCAAAATAAACACAGCTAGTACCACTACAGCAGTCATCATGTTATCAACACAAGTCATCTCTCATGACTAAGCTCATTTCGCTCTGAATGATCACAGGGTCCAGCGTCTCACCCGTGTCAGTGGTGGGCGTATCAGGCGTGTTGACGGCGTGCGTGGGGGCTTCTCTCCAGGCTCGTTCCAGGCTGTTGTGCTGCTTGGCTAGCTGCTCGATGGTCTCCTCCAGGTGGGTGCGTTGCTCTCGCTCATGCTGAAGTACTCGCTGCCATCTGCGGCTGTGGCTCTCAGCCAGGTCCAAGAAATCTCGGCACGCCTGCACGAGAGGATATGAGACATGGGTTAAACATCAACACAAATACAGAAGATTTAGGAATAAAATAAGTGCAATGTAAACCAGAGGGGATTGATTCTGCTCCTAAAGATCTGAGCTGAAACAGTAGAGCATTACTCGGAAAGAGCATGAATCGGTCTCATGATTTTAACTTTTTTGCTCACCAGACACTGAGGCTAGAGGTTTTCCCAAGTTACAAGCAATTCAGCAGTTTCTGGCCTCAATTGTGACATCAATACCATAGGGGAAACTGCAATATAGATATTTTTAATGTTATCTCATAATTTGGCAACCGGTATATTAGGCTGCCGTCACTTTAAGACCTGTTTTATATAGCCAATATACTTATACTTTATATAGCCAATATAATCTGCATGAAATCATACTCAAAACGCACCATCCCTCGTGCGAAATTCAAGCCCTGTAACACCAACAAGATTCATCCAGAGAAAATTAAACGAGTGAGTAAAGGGAAGAGGGTTTGTGTGTCAACTCGCTGTCGGAGTGATTAGAGAGTGAGAACGTGCAGCTGATATTGTGTATCCTGCGGAAGAGTATAGATATGTATTGAAAAAAATCTATATTTTTGACAAAACTAGATTGCACTTAGTTTATTTCAGATGCCTTTTTAAAAGACTGCAATTGAAAAATGTACATTATATAAAATTCAACCCACTGTATCTTTGTTAAAAAGCGTGTGTGTTACACGCCACGGCTGAAATCCACCCGCATTTGGTGGGTTGGCCGGTGTTAATGTCAAAGATTGTGTGCTATGAATTTATTTATTTTTATTGTATGCTATGAATTTCAAGCGTACATGAATGACCCCTGTAGAAGATCTATACAGGTGGAGCTGGGGAAGGTGGAGGTTTTCTAAAAGCACACTGTAAACTGCTACAGAAAACAGTTTAAAGATTATCATAAGAAAAAATAGATTATCCTAAGCCAAAATCATGGATTCCAGAGTTGTCGAGGCAAATCCTGCCTCCACATCCTCATTGTCTTTGTTTTCCCTCACTTTCTCCATCATTCCGGTTCCTAAAATCTCTAGGGATCTTATCTGTCCTCCTGCTGTAGGCACCACACATGAATTCACCTGTTTTCTCATTACTGCTCTGGTCTCCCTCATAAAAAGGATCCCCACAGGAAGAGATCATGGAAATACCTTCCCCTCTCCATCTTCCCCTTTCCCTGCATTTCTTCTATTTTTCTCTCCTGACTGACTTTTGTTTATTGTTCTTATTGAATTGTCTCACAACAAAATGAAGTATCTTACAACATAATGAATTATACATGACAGAAAGGTCAAAGAGTTTTTTAAATTGATCATGGGCTGAAAGCAGAAGTGAAAGAATGAATCTGTTGGCCAGTGCACGTTCAGAAACACGCAAACATACAGACTGTCTATGGTCGTTGTTTTTTTAAGTTGAGTCTGACTGGCAGTATTGAGCAATGTCAAAGTTGATAACACTAGATTGCACTTAGTTTATTTCAGATGCCTTTTTAAAAGACTGCAATTGAAAAATGTACATTATATAAAATTCAACCTACTGTGTCTGTGTTAAAAAGTGTCTGTGTTACACGCAAGTTAGAGAGGTTACTCTTGGTCAATGGCATGCACGGTCACATGCTTGTACCCAGAGGAATATGTTATTTGTCAGAGGTTGTGCTTTCAAAGTTTAGCAGACAAGGCTTAAAGGTGCAATGTGTAACAAAGTTGAGTATCTATTAACAGAAATGCAATATGACATCCATAACTATGTTTTCAGTGGTGTATAAAGAACTTACTTAATTAACCGTAATGTTTTTATTACCTTAGAATGAGACATTAATAGCTCCATAACCGCGGGAATCCCCTTCTATGAAGGTCGCCATGTTGTGACGTCATATTCCTACCGTAGCCGAACGCGAACAAACAGCGCGTTTCATCACTACCTTGAAAGAGAAGTAGCGGAAAGCTAGCCTTACACTCCGTGAGTAGTGACTTTTCCCTTGTGAGTGGTGTAAAATATGTAGTTGGGATTGTTTCATGTAACTTAGTTCTCCCTCGCTGTGTTATGGGTTTGTTATGTTGGGGATAGATGTGCTGTTACGTTCGTGAGACAGCTGATGATTAGTACTCACGTCATTGACCGTAAAACAGTACGTTACAGCAATCACTAACCCGTCGATAGAGACTTTTACTAAAGTCTTTTATCACTAAAGTCGATCGCGAAGATTTTTCAAAATTAGAGAAAAAAAGCCTATTGTGTGCAGTAAATAGTATCTATGGGATGCGGAGATGACATGATTGTAACAGCGCGCGCACTTCCGACCTTTGGACTCATGCGGACGAGTCCCAGCTCAGCCACAGTAACAGCTCATATTAGCCAGCTAAACTATTACTACCCTGTTAGAAAAAATATATAGCTGCTCCCTCGCTGTATTATGGGTTTGCTACAGTATGTGGGGATAAATGTGCTGCTGGTTACGTTTGTGAGACAATCAGCTGATTAATATTATTTTATTAAATTATATATTAAAACCCTTGATCCTCACCTGACTATGGCTTTGTAAACAGTATCCATGATGTGGTTTATAATGGACTGTGGTACAGAAACAGTGACAATGTTACACACTCTTGGCTTACTCTGGCTATTCTCTGCTGTCTCAGCCGACGAGATGTTTGTCCCGTTTTAGCAACCGTAGCTTCTTCGAAAGGGAGGGGTGAGCAGTGGGCTGAGCCCTTAGTGCAAACCTGGTGCAAACTCGCAACCGAACCACTAGATGTCGCTAAAAATCACACATTGCTCCTTTAAGCCTAGTCCAAGACTAAAATGCATGTTTGAAGCAATCCATGCTTTACAGAAAATAAACAGCAAAAAAACTGTTTGTCAATGTATGACAAATGGCATGTTTCTTCCTCGTAATTAAGAATAATCCTCATCACAAATAGGTTTCACTAAAAATACCTCTTGTAACCAAACTCAATATCTGTGAGAGGATCTCTCATCACAGCTCATCAATCATGTTAATAACTGAGACTACAGCACAGCCGCAAAAACAAGGCAGCTCACAGTCACAACCAATCACGTCTTTAACAGTGCCACTGCCTCCGAGTTTCAGTGAAATCTCTCGACTGTACTCTCTTCTTCATCTTGTGATCACTGTTTCTTTGTCCATCTCCCTTGTCTCCTGTGGAGGCACAATGACATGACTAAACTGACTGACCCTAGTGTGTTTGATCAGAAACCACAGACACACAAGTGACTGCCAGGTAAATCAATAAAAAAGATCCATGAAGTTGCTTCAGATAGAAGTCTGAATCTCTCTATATTTAAACAATTAATAAATGATTGCATAATAAAATTCAGATTTAAATGCTAAATATTTTAACTGACCATGAAAATGTATTTTGCATTATTTTATTATTATATTTTTTATAAAAAAAAAATCTATTTGGTCCTTTCAATGGGATATCTGTTTTGTTTCCTTATCACTCACAGCAGATTAACCATTCTACATTTTCATGCCCTTCATAAAAACACAAAGAAAAAGACATTGGGATTTTAGATTTAGATTAGATTTCACATTTTTATTTTGGTGGCATACATTTGAATAATAATATATGATGCCACATGTATTTCTGGGGGGAGGGGACCTCTATTTGTATCTTTGTCTGCATTTTTGCAAACATCTATAATCGCTCAAATCATTTATATCAGAAGACCATTACATTTTGACTTAAACTACTATGTTGTAGTCCTTACTAAATTTGTACCAATTTGTACTCACATTTGGCACTTTTGGGCTAATTTTGGGTGCTGTACAGAACATAATTAAACTCTTGCACTCTTGGCCACACACTCTGCTCCTTTAAATTCCACAAAGAAAACGACAAACCCCAGCACTTACCTGACTCCTGTCAGCACTGAGCGTCCAGAGCTCAGCTGTGATAGAGGATCCTCTGTGCTACACTCAGCATGTGACTGCGGCTTCCTAACACGTTCATGAAACTACAGCTCCTCATCTTTAACATAAGCAACACTTCCACTTTTTTTTGCTGAGTGAGGTCCTGGGCCCCAGACTGCTCGTGACTTCAGGAAGAGTTTAGAGGAAAGAGACGTACGTGTGTGTCGTACATCCTCATATCCAATAATTGCCCTTTAAAATAGTTGAGGGGGAGGGAAACCATGTGATTCAGTGTGTGAAACTTTTAGATAATTCATTGAATTCAGAGAAATACCTAGTGAGATTCAACATAGAATCTTTCAACTAGAATCTAGATAGATTTTCAGAATGCCACTTGATGTGATATTTTACTATATAATGCAAAGAGACTCTGAGATTTTTTAAATGTGATTTAAGTGTCCAATTAGTTTTTAGGGCCACTGCACCAACAGAATCACACGGCTGCTGTCTCTCAGTTTCAGTAGGGGTGAATACAAGTTAAGCGAGACAAGGTTTTTGTAAGTAAAATGTCTTTCTTTTTAGAAGGTCTATCATAATTATTATTAATCATATTTTCATAATTACTCAGTGCACTGGACTTCACACAATTCTGATATTTACTACCGTTCAAAAGTTTAGGGTCCATATTTTTTCTGCATTAAATTGATCAAAAGTGACAGTAAAGACATAATAACATTACAAAAGATTTCCATTTTAAATAAATGCTGTTCTTTATTCAAAGACTCCTGAAAAGGTCTACCAAGTTACCACAAAAATATAAAGCAGCAAAACGGTTTTCAACATTGATGATAATTAGAAGAAATGTTTCTTGAGAACCAAATAAGATTAGAGTAATCACAGCTAAAAATCCAGCTGTTTCATCACATAAATAAGTTACACTTTTAGAAAACAGTTATTTTAAATAGTTAAATATTTCTCAAAATTACATTTTTAGATTGTATTTTTGATCAAATAAATGCAGCCCTGTTGAGCATAAAAAAGGCTAGTTTAAAAAACATGAAAAATCTTACCAACCCAAAATTTTTCATTAGTGTATAACCTGTGATGTTCAAAGAATGACAAAAAGAGAAAAGACCCTTTTTTCTTTCTCCTTGTTTCAAATAGATGTAATATGTGTATTAAAAATAAGATAATCTGCTTTTCCTTCACACCTCACACACATAATGATTTCCCTCTGCCTCTCATTAAAAGTTCTGTGCCTCGGCCTGTCCAAGTGCTTTAATGAGCTGGATCCACAATGCTGTTCAGCACTTTTCATTATGCATGTGTAGTTCTGTTCAGCTGGCTATTAATCATTTCAAAGATGAACAAAAGAAGAATCTTCACAGCTGATTAAACAAAGATCTCACTGATGAATGTGATATTGCATGTTTGTCTGTTGCATCACCTCAAACCCTCAGGTCTTGAATACTGTCTGCAGGGCTAATGGATGATACTAACACCAAGAAGTGAGGAAATAGAACAATTAGATTCTTATAATGGTTCTTAACTTCTTACAAAACAATGCATAAAGAATCATAATTGAACACAAATCTAAAAACTGTTAAATTGGTGTACCTGTTCAGATAGTTTGCTCAATATCAGTTTTCAAACAGTGTAGCCACTTCTTACCAAAAGCTTTTGTGAAGAGTTTATCAAACTAATGAGGAAATGACTCACTTTTAGTAAAGTTCATCAAAGTTGAAATGGGAACACACAAGACAAATTCACCTTCAATATTGATTTCATAACTGAGAGTAGTGATACCTATCCAAAATTTGATTTAGGAAATCAAAGACACAAAGGACATCCATAAAAGTGAGAGCTATTCCTAGACTTGTATTGATCGCTGCAGTGGAAGCCAGTTCTACCTTCATTGAGTACACACACACACATACACACACACACACACACACACACAAAAAGAAAAACAATCTTCGATCCAGGTATTTGCAACTACGTTTGACTTTAGAGACACATTGAACATGAAATTTGAGCACAGATTAAGATTTTCTCTGGAAAGGATTCAAAATAAAACGGCTGATCTGGTGCAAGTTTCACACATGGGTCTGTATAATGAAGTATGTTTGGGTAAGAGAGCTAATTTTGGATTAGGTTTTGATTTGTCCATTTTGATAAATAAACCCCACATACTGACCATGGCAATAGGGACTGGGGAAAACACTGTCCCGATGATTGAACACACTTTTTTTGCCATTTTTGATCAATTTTATGTTATTTCTGGCCCCAAACCTTTGAACAGTTGAATTAAGATTAATTTTAAACAGAAATGAACAAAAACAAAAAACAAAATAGTGGTAACAGAAAGTTAGTTCTGTACTTACATTGATCATAGCATTGGAGGTGATGCGAAAGAGGGTGGCTCTCTCATTGACAGCCTTGATTTTCTCTCCTCCCTCCAGAGGCACACGTAAAGTCTCGAGTTCACTCAAAGAACGCTGCAGTGCCGCTCCGTGTTTGGCTATCAGATCATTGCATGTGCTCAAGTCATCCAACTTACTGGCCAGAGTCTTGAGAGTGCCCTGGATCTCACTGTGGTCTGACTGAGACGTGGGTTCCTCGTCTGCCGAGTCATCTACACAAACAGAAACACACACAGAGGGAGAGTGTTCATTTTCATTATTTCCTTACATTAAACCTTTTAAAAACAGAAACAAATCACCAGAGCACAATGTGTTTTGCAGCTGTTCTCATTAATGAGTCGAGGGCACAGCTCCTCCTAATTTCCCTCATTAATTAATGCTGATTTTACAGGTGGCTGAGCCCCCAATGGCCGATATTACCATAGTCACATATGCAAACACAAAGCACTACCATACTAAATCAAAACACACACTAGATGGTGGACAGATAATGACTACACAAAATGTATTTCCTTTTAAAAAAACAATTAGAAATAGTCCTCAGATGACATGTCTGTAATTTATATAAAACAAATCTAGTGTTAATTGGATCTCAAAGAGTTTCATTAAAAGTAGTTATTACTCCACCACGTGCGAAACCAACGTGGTTGAACGATACTTTGCGACAGTGGGTTTCGGGAAACAGTCGTGACTAGCTAGTTGATTTTTCCAATGATGCATCGTACTATGGTAGTGAATCAGCGAACTACGGTACGGGAAACGCACCCCTGATTGGTTATATAAATGAAACAATTAACAATGAATTTAACTTTAAAACCTTTTTGCTTTCAACAAAAATCTTTAGCTTTCCTAAAAAACCTAAACAGATTCAAGATATTTTCATGTTTTGATCGCCCACTCATGACTTTTTAAGCTTCTATATGTTTTAAGGCAGTGGTTGACAAGTCTCTAAATGGAACTACTAACAAGTGAACTCATCTGCACACTAGTCCACTTTTACGGCTTTGTTATATTTATACTTGTTCTCTGGCAAAATCTTAACTCACACAGTTCAACTTGTCGATTTTGAATAAAGATTGAAAGAGTCATTGGAAGCTTAGTAGCGGTGACGTTGAAGTTGGGTCGAGGGGGTAGTTTGTTTATAGCCTTAATTTAGCTTGTTACTCTTGGTGGTTGTATTTAGGCTTCGAAATTCATAGGTTGTGTTAATTTGTGAAGATAAACCAAATGCATAAGGTTTATCTTCAAACGCTTGTTGGAGTAGTAGAGGGTTTCACCCCCCAAAAAATACTTCAATTGAATTGAGATCCGGACATTTCCTTCTTCCAAGTCATTCCTTTGTGAACCGAAAACTTTTGCTTTTATCTGATCCTGACCTGCATCTATTTCCATAGGTAGAGTCTAAGACCACCATATTGGTCATTTAAGTAGAAAAATAAGCAACGCTAACATAAAATGACTAAGTGTGCCTGATATCTAAACATTTGCTAGAGGAAAGGACGTGCTAAAAATAAATGGTAAATAGTTTGGATTCCCAAGTGATTCCCACAGCTGCCATCATTAATGTTCATTGGCTTGTGTGGACACACTCCAACACACACACACACAATGGCTCCCTTCCAGTGACAGAAGTCACATAAATCTGGAAAAATCGCATCAGAGCAGAGTTGCAGATGCTGAGCTGAGGCTATGACAACACGGATGCTATTATATATGAGACAGCTATTCGGGGTCACATTTATTACGTCAAACAAATAACAAGATGAATTTAGAAAATGCATGTTTATAAGGTAAAGACGTTGCAACTAATCTCTGACACAAGAAAGAACGTTTGGGGGGGAAAAGACGTGGCATAGTGCGTGTGAGAGACGAGGACATGGCAACCTCGTTCAGAGCAGCGGAGCAGGGCAAGGGTGAGATTGATTTGACTGTGTTTGTTCCTCCTCAGCAGACAGCAGAGCAGCCGTCAGCAAACTGTTCAGAGACTGAACACATTAACCTTCTCATGACTCAACAACAACATACGTAGATTGAAAACATCGTGTGTGGAGGCAAAGGGGTCACTTTAGGGCACTGTAGACAGAAATTGAATTATGCTAACTAAACAGTAATTATTTTGCATTAAAAAGGTCTCTACTAGCTTCTTGTGCTGGGTGCCAGATTAACCACTGGCCTTGAGACAGTTCAATTAAATAGTCCATTTCTAGAGCTTCTTCTTTTCTCTCTTTCTATTAGCCATAACAGACACACTTGCGCACACACACTGGCTGATCCAGCGCATACGTGCGTATTTGTGAGCAGTGTGTCGTGTGACTGCTGACAGAGGAATCTGTGGGAATGTTTCAAACAGTATATTACCATACCAAGTACTTTTTGTGCAGTATGTAGTCCTATATTGTGCACAATATGCAAATTTGGTTGTGTGCGCATGGAACACCAGAATCAACTACATATGACAAAATGTGCACTATAACCAGAGAACACTGTAATTGTGTCCCACAATGCAACTTGGACAATGGATTAAAATGAAATAATAACTGATTTGTATTGTTCATATAAATATATTACAATTATAAAATATGTTTACTTTTCATTTTAAATTATTTTTTTTAAATTGCAGTATAAAATGGCACCCTGAAACATATTTTTATATTTTACATTTACATTTATTTTATCCAAAGCGACTTACAAATGAGAACAATAGAAGCAGTCAAACTCGGACAACAATATGCAAGTGCTATAAGACCCTTCAGTTTAATCTAATGCAGTATGTGTACTTTTTTAAGATAATAGATTAGAATAGAAGATAAAGTGTTAGTATTAATGAATCAAGTGTTGTCGAAAAAGATGCATCTTCAGCCGTTTCTTTAAAAATAGTCATAGACTCAGAAGCTCTGGTTGAGTTGGGCAGGTCATTCCACCAGCATGGAAAAGACCAGAAAAAGGTCAGAGAAAAAGATTTAGTGCTGCTATGAGATGGCACCACAAGAAAGCGTTCACTTGCAAAGCGCAAGTTTCTGGATGGCACATAAGTCTGAAGTATTGAGTTTAGGTAAAAGGGAGCAGAGCAGTGGTTGTTCTGTAGGCAAAAGTCAGTGACTTGAATTTGATGCGAGTGGCAACTGGCAACCAAATATATATAAACTATGTAAAATGTTTTAAATGTGTACAAAAGCAAATTGCCTTACAATATATAAAGTGTATATACTCCTGTTCAAATAATAAATAACCATATGGTAAATGGACTGCATTTATTTAGCGCTTTCACAGACCCCAAACCATATATACAATAGAATAGACCATTAATGTTTTTTGGTTATTGTTGTTGCATATTGTCTCAATCATAATAAACTGTATATATTATATTCCACAGAATATGCTGTATAAAAGTATTTCATCTCTTTCCCTTACTCTGTGAGGTTTAATCCTGAGCACACACACATACAGTACAGCCAGAAAAGACACACACACACAGCTTTACATTAAGAGCGGTTTTCACCCTGTCACCCTTTAGCTTTAGAAGAGCTGCTGATGAAGGTCTGAGGGTAATGTGCAGCTGGCACAGGTTAAATCTGCTGTGCGCTGGAGATTACAGCTCATTCCTACAGCAGCTTCTCTGTCTGGAAACCATTCGGCAGAAGGACAAGGTGGCTTGATATTTTATAATGCTTACAGGCCTTCCTGCTGCAAGACACCAGTCATCATAGAGGTCTGTCTAGATACAGTATATCACAGTTTTCAAGCACAACACACAAATATCTGTTTACAAAGAGTGACATTACAGAAAAAGGATCTTGATACAAACCAATCTGGCACCTCCTGTCTGTATTTTCAATCTATAATCAGATTAACATCAGATTAAAGAATTAACTCCTACAATAAATTGTAGTTTAGTAGCATATTATCTTTGAACTATTTTCAACTAACATTTTGACAATTACAAATTTCCCTAGTTCAGTTGTATTCATGAAATATGAACATTAAACTATCCTAAAGTATGATGTACAACCATACCAGCCTGTAATGATTTGGTAATAAATCTGACAAAGCAATTACTTCAGAATTAATAAATGTATAAGCTGGTTAACATGCCTCCAAATGTACTGTACTGACGCCACTGCCAACAATAGTTCACATTCACATAGGATTTAAAACGGTTTTCAAGTTTTCTATTACAGAACTTAAAAGATTAAATATGATTTTTTGAACCCATGTAAGAAGCTTGGATAAACTTTCACTGTAAGGTTTACAAACAGAAGATGGTCAAACTGAGCAGTGTCCAAGTGAAGCTGGACTTCTTGCAATGCCAAACAATCTATGCCATTTTTGTCTTTATTGCGACAGTCAAGGCTGAATTCAGGGAGTAATGTAGGAGATACAGTATAATACAGATATAATTTCAATTTAGAAAATGCAAGAATGTCCCTCCAATGTACACATGCCAAATAATTGCCCAATTCTCTAAGTAAGCACATCATGTTTAAATCAAAATGATTTAAATTGTATCTAGGGATAATCTCTTTTGCTTTTTGTGAATTTGAGAGATAAAAGCATGGCCAGCTGCAGATGAAACATGATAATGCAGATATATTATGTAGCACTGCAATGAGCAGAAGGCAGCATTCAACCCTCTCCAGCCACTTCTGAGTCTATTAAACATACAAAATTATGTAAATCACCTCCATGACAATCTACAGAGGCAGTTGTGGCCTATTGGTTAGAGAGTCAGACTTGTAACCCGGTCGCAGGTTCAAGTCTACTGGCAGGAAATGTAGGTGGGGAGAGTGATTGAAGAAAGAGCAGTCTCTTCCACTCTCATTACCCAATACTCTGAGGTGCCGTTGAGCAAGGCACGTAACCCCCAATCGCTCCCAAAATCGCTCCGAAAAAAAAAAAAAAAACCTGTGTGTGTGTGTGTTCACTACTTACTGCTGTGCATGTGTACTTGGATGGGTGAAACGCAGAGCACTAATTCAGAGTATAGGACACCATACTTTAGTACCATAGCACTTTTTGACAATCAAGATTTAGACAGAAATAAATTACAAAAAAAAGTGCATAAAAATAAATTTTGTTAACTTAAGGTTAATAATACAATTTGACAGAATAGAAAAAAACGGTCATACATGAACACTCAAAGGCGTGTTTTGAAAGATTCTTGCTGTAATTAAATTATAGCAATGAGGTTGAATTCTTATTGCCTGTGGGTAAA